TTTTTTTTTACTACTTTTTTCTTGTGATGTATGTGTAGCTAATTGTTGTTTCTTTTATTACAAGCTTTTTTGACATATTTGCGCTGACTACTATCCTTTGTTTTGTAAGGTATTGATATATTTGGCATCTACCATCCCTTCAATAGCTTTTGGTTCACTGGATAGGAGTTTATATAGCTACCAGGTAATAATTTGACATTTCTGTCATACTTTTTTTTTGTAAACTTTTTGGCTGCTTTAAACATGAACATATATATACTTTCTAGATTTGTTTCACAACATTTATGCAACCCGCTTTCTTTATATGCATATCTTCTTTTAAGTGTAACATATTGCTTTAACCAGGGGTATTTATAAGCTTGCTGACAACCTGTTTCAAATCATCTATACAATATGCCTGCTTTTGTATATAAATGTTGTTTTTAAGTATTGCATACTTTATTGATTTATGTAGTTGTTTATCTAAGCTAAGGCGTAGTTTATTTATTGATGGCATTGTGGGTGTGCCTATTGTTTTCTGTTCTCGGTGTTAGGAGGAGTTTTGGCTGTGATTTTTGGGATACAAATGCTATTGTTTATTTGTCGTTGTTCAATTGAAATCCTATATCTTCAAAGTTGTTTATTAACTATGTTTATTTTAACAGCAAATTGCATGTTATTATGTTTCCCAGAATGTTTATGGCTACTTATTATGCTAAATCAATTATTTTCTTTTGACACTTTCATTTGGTTTTGCTATAAGTTTTAATGGTGGTAGTCGTAAGTACGTGATAATGGCTTCTTCCTAGAGTTGAAGTTTGAAGGGATTCATCAATATTTTAAATACAGTACTGGCATGCATTATCTATTATACATTGTTGGCATACACTCTCTTATGCATTTCCTCCATTGGTAGATTACCAATATATGTACACATTTTAAACTCTACTAATAATTTTAGAGGTGGAGGTCACTTGTTGAGACATCTACATGCTTTGGCAGAAGCTGAAGAAAAGTTTCTATTCATTAGAAGCGTTTGTCCAAAATCGATGCCAATGTTATCTTGATCCTCTATCTTTAATTTGATTTCGTTTCAAATGTAAGAACGAAGTAAACTTGATATGCCCATAGAAGGAAAAGTGATTTTTATTAGAACTCATGCCAAATTTATCATTCAAGTTGGATGTCAATATCCGAAAGACTATTTGATTAGCTTAATATTTATGTTGATGTTTCATAAGATTTCGAAACTTTCACCTGTTGCATCAGATTAACGAGCTCCTGCCTCATCAAAGAAAGTTCAATGACCTTAAAACGCAGCTGGGAGCTCAAATTACATGATGTGTCACTCTCGAAAAACAGAGTTAAGCAAAATGAGCATCACCATGCAAAATTTGAAACATTTCCTTGTAGTTGTTTCCATGTCAAGCCACACATTCTTTATTCAGAACTCCAGATTGTCTGATACATGATATTAATTCCTATCACATCAACATTTTCGTACGTGATGCAGCTACGCGAGTTGGTTAAGAAGATCGAGGAGGAGCTTGGAGCAGCAAAATCAACCATAAAAAATAAGCAGCTTTTGTATAAAGAATGTGTAGCTAAAGTATCAGATCTTGAAAAGTCAATCCATAGCCATGCTGGAAATCGAGAAAGTAGACTTAAGGATTTAGAGAAAAATATAAAGGTGACTAAAAATCAAATGGAGGTTGCTTCTAAGAACCTCAAGGTCTGTTTTGTTGAAATGTATAACTGAATGACACATCTGATTTGTTTTAGACACATACCATAACACCAGCTCCCTACTTTCTACTTATCCAAATATATTTGTAATGATTATCGAAATTTTCTAGCATGATTGGTCAAAATGCTAGAGACTGAGCAAAACCATCAGAATTAATTAGTGTTTATTTGATCTAATATTGAGTTTGTTTGGTATTAAACTACCAAATCCATTATTCATGTTACTTGTGCACTTAGGGTGATGAGAGTGAACATGAGAGGCTTATAATGGAGATGGAAGAAGCTCAAAAGGAACAAGCTACACTGGGATGCAGAGCCTATTAGCTGCTCTGAAGAAAAAACATGATCTCGATAAAGAAGTAGAGTCTCAAAGACCCAAGGTATATTATAATTCAGTATACTACCATATGAGTCTCTAAATTAAGCCATTTGTCGAAAAATTCTGTTTGGTCAAATGTTTTTATTATAGGTGTCTTCTACAAAACAATGATAATGTCCAATCTTACCGGATCATGATGATCTCCAATCTTAACTCAATATTGAAGGAAGATACAAGACTATTATTGCCGAGAAGCAGCAGGGGAACTCGATACATGATTAGTGAGGCCAACCTAGAGAGAAAGGAATGGAGATTGAACTAATTTGTTTTGCTTAGTTTCTTGAATCAGCTCCTAGATAGTTAGTATACAAGCAA